CAGTAATAGTTGGGGACTTCAGTACTCCACTGACAGCACTAGACAGGTCATCAAGACAGAAAGTCAACAAAGAAACAATGGACTTAAACTATACTCTAGAACAAATGGACTTAACAGATGTTTAGAGAACATTCTACTCAACAACTGCAGAATATACACTGTACTCATCCATTTTCCAAGACAAACCACATAATAGGCCACAAAACAAGTCTCAGTAAATTTAAGAAAATCAAAATTACTCTCTCAGACCACAGTGGAATAAAATTGGAAATTAACTCCAAAAGGAACCATCAAAACCATGTAAATACATAGAAATTAAGTAATCTGCTCCCAAAAGGTCATTGAGTCAACAATGAAATCAAGATGAAAATTAAACATTTCTTTCGACTGAATGATAATAATGATAACAACCTATCAAAACCTCTGGGATACAGAAAAAGGAGTGCTAAGAGGAAAGTTCATAACATTAAAAGCCTTCATCAAAGAGCCCAAAAGAGCACAAATAGACAATCATAGGTCACACCTCAAGAAACTAGAGAAATAAGAATGAACCAAATCAGAACCCAGCAGAAGAAAAAAATAACAAAGATCAGAGCAGAACTAAAGAAAATTAAAACAAACAAACAAAAAATACAAAAGATAAATGAAATGAAAGGCTGATTCTTTGAAAAGATGAACAAAATTGATAGACCATTGGTGAGATTAACCAAGAAAAAAAGAAAGAAGATCCACATAAGCTCAATTAGAAAGAAAATGGGAGATATTACAAACAATGCTGCAGAAATCATTTAAGGCTGTATGATAATTTAAGTCTACTATGAACACTTTTATGCATACAAATGAGAAAACCTAGAGAAGAAGGAAAAATTCCTGGAAATATACAACTCTCCTAGATTAATCAGCAAGGAATAGAAACTCTGAACAGACCAATAACAAGCAGTGAGATTAAAATGGTAATAAAAAAAATTACAAAGGAAAAGAAAGTCCAGGACCAGATGGATTTACAGTTGAATTCTCTCAGGCATTCATAGAAGAGTTTGTACCAATCCTATTGACACTATTCCAAAAGATTGAAAAGGAGGGAATCCTCCCTAAATCGTTCTATGAAACCAGTATCACCCTAATACCAAAACCATGAAGGACATAACAAAAAAGAGAACTAGAGACAAATATCCCTAATGAACAGAGATGCAAAAACCCTCAACCAAATGCTAGCTAAGTGAATCCAACAGCATATCAAAAAGATTATCCACCATGATCAAGTGGGTTTCATATGAGGGATTCTGGGATGGTTTAATATACAAAAGTCAATAAATGTGATACATCATATAAACAGAATTAAAAATAAAAATCAAATTATCATCTCAATGGATAAAAAAAAGCATTTGACAAAATCCAGCATCCTTTATGATTAAAACCCTCAGCAAAATTGGCGTAGAAAGGACATACCTTAAGAAAATAAAATCCATCTATGACAAACACATAGGCAATATTATTCTGAATGGTGAAAAGTTGAATGCATTCCCCTGAGAACTGGAACAAGACAAGGATGCCCACTTTCACAACTTTTATTCAACACAGTACTGAAAGTCCTAGCCAGAGCAATCAGACAAGAGAAGGAAATAAAGGGCATCCAAATTAGTAAAGACAAAGTCAAACTGTTGCTGGGTTGCTGTTCACTGATAAAATGATTGTATATCTAGAAAACCCCAAACATTCCTCTTAAAAGCTCCTAGAACTGACAAATGAATTCAGAAAAGTTTTGAGATATAAAATTAAGGTACACAAATCAGAAGCACTGTTATATACCAACAGTAATCAAGCTGAAAATCAAATCAAGAACACAACTCCTTTTACAATAGCTGCAAAAAATAAAAATAAAAATGGAGAAATATACTTAACCAAGAAGGTGATAGACCTCTACAAGAAAAACTACAAAACACTAGTGAAAGAAATCACAGATGACACAAACAAATGGAAACACATCCCACGCTCATGGATGGGTAGAATCAATGTTGTGAAAATGACCATACTGCCAAAAGCAATCTACAAATTCAATGCAATTTCCATCAAAATACAACCATCATTCTTCACAGAACTAGAAAAACAATTCTAAAATTAATGTGGAAGGAAGAAAGAGCCCGCATAGTGAAAGCAAGACTAAGCAAAAAGAGCAAATCTGGAGGCATCACACTACCTGACTTCAAACAGTACTATAAAGCCATAATCAGCAAAAAGCATGGTACTGGTATAAAAGTAGACACATAGACCAATGTAACAGAACAGAAAACCCTGAAATAAAGCCAAATACAACAACTGATCTTTGACAAAGCAAACAAAAACATAGAGTAGGAAAAGGACATGTTTGTCAACAAATGGTACTGGGAAAATTGGCAGCCACATGTAGAATGAAACTGGATCCTCATCTCTCACCTTATACAAATATCAACTCAACATGGATTAAAGACCTAAATCTAAGATGTGAAACCATAAAAATTTGAGAAGCTAACATTGGAAAACCTGTCTAAACATTGGCATGGGCAAAGACTTCATGACCAAAACCCCAAAAGCAAATGCAACAAAAACAAGGAAGAATAAATGGCACTTAAACTAAAAAGCTTCTGCACAGCAAAATAAATAATCAACAGAGTAAACAACCCACAAAGTGGGAGAAAATATTTGCCAACTGTACTTCTGATAAAGGACTAATATCCCATCAAAAAGTGGGCTAAGGACATGAACAGGCAATTCTCAAAAGAGGCTGTACAATTGGCTAGCAAACATATACAAAATGCTCAACATCTCGGCCAGGCACGGTGGCTCATACCTGTAATCCTAGCACTTTGGGAGGCCGAGGCGGGTGGATCACGAGGTCAGGAGATCAAAACCAGCCTGGCCAATACGGTGAAATCCCATCTCTAATAAAAATACAAAAAATTAGCCGGGCATGGTCGTGGGCACCTGTAGTCCCAGCTACTCAGGAGGCTGAGGCAGGAGAACGGCATGAACCTGGGAGACAGAGCTTGCAGTGAGCTGAGATCGCACCACTGCCCTTCAGGCTGGGTGACAGAGCAAGACCCCATCAAAAACAAAAACAAAAACAAACAAACAAAAAAGCTCAACATCTCTAATTATCAGGGAAATACAAATCAAAACCACAATGAGATACCACCTGTCTTCTGCAAGAATGGCCTTAATCAAAAAATAAAAAAGTAATAAATGTTGGTGTGGACGTGGTGAAAGGGGAACACTTCTACACTGCTGCTGGGACTGTAAACTAGTACAACCACTATGGAAAACAGTATGGAGATTCCTTCAAGAACTAATTGTAGATCTGCCATTTGTTCCAGCAATCCCACTATTGAGGGAAATGGTCAGGGGTGGTGAGGGATAAAGAACTACACACTGGGTGCAGTGTACACTGCTCGGGTGATGGATGCACCAAAATCTCAGAAATCACCACTAAAGAACTTATCCGTGTAACCAAACAGCACCTGTTCCCCCAATACCTATTGAAATAACATAATAATAATAATAATAATAAACAAAAACAAACAAATACTATCTCAGTTTCTGCCTTATGGATAGGGATTGTCAGAAGTCATCTATTTTAGAACATATTCTAATGTTAGAACTGTGAAAATATGAAAAACTAAGCATCATAGAACTGAAAGAAAATGGTAGGGTTGCTATATAGATTTACGTGAGTTAAACCATCCAAATACCTCAGCACAGTGGCTGGCCCAGTGTCATCACACACCAACTGTGATCAGTTACTCTTACTTACAGCTAGTCTAGCACAGGCTCATGAGCTCCAGTTGATTATTTAATTTACAGAAATTCTACTCCACAACCCTTTTGTATTTTTGACTCCTTAACATGAAGTTAAATGCCTTTAAAAAAAAAAAGTTAAATGCTTAATAAATCTCTCCAGTGATTTCTATTTTGTTGATTAAACCAGCAGTTCTTTGAAAAATAAGTCTAGGGAGCATCAGCATCAGTGTTCTAACAAGCCCCACTGAAGGTGCCCATAGAATTATTATGGTACTCACAAGAGTGTGGATTTTATAAAGACAGACTTACCCAGTCTTGCCCTAATGCAATCTACAGACAAACCTGTGGAAAAATGAAACAGATTTACTCTACAGTAATGCTTAGCCATTCATAATTTTCTGGAACTGAGGTCTGAGAACCTGTTTCTCAGTAGTTCAGTCACTTCGTTTTTCTTTTTTATTTTATTTTATTTATTTATTTTTTAAAGACAGAATCTTGCTCTGTCACCCAGGCTGGAGTGCAGTGGTGTGGTCTCCACTCACTGCAACCTCCACCTCCCGGGTCCAAGTGATTCTCCTGCCTCAGCGTCCTGAATAGCTGGGACTACAAGTGCCCACCACCACGCCCGGCTAATTTTTCTTTTTTTAGTAGAAACGGGGTTTCACCATGTTGGCCAGGCTGGTCTCAAACTCCTGACCTCATGATCCACCCGCCTCGGCCTCCCTAAGTGCTGGGATTACAAGTGTGAGCCACCGCGCCTAGCCACTTTTTTTCCACATACTGAGAAGAGACGATGCATTCCCATCAGACATCGTCCACACCCAACAGCAGAAAGGACAGCCTTCAGGCTGGTGGCTGAAGTTCACTTCTATTTATAACAGCATTTTAAACAACATAAGCTTATGCTTTCATAAAACTAGAAGAATATACCTGAAGATAGATTTCTGAAGTTTGATTTCACTTCCTAAATTCACCTTCCATTGACAATCCAATGCATTGAAATCCACATCGCTGCAACCATGAAGGAGCACTGCCACCTGTAGGCACAGACTGGACTACAGCAACAGCTCCAAGCCTAAAGCAGACGAGTGTCCAGAATTTAAATTAGAAATATTTTGTTAAAACAGTGTCTTAGCAAAGGGAAATAGCTTATAACGGAACAATCTTTTAGAGGCAAACCTTTTATCTGTTGCTTTACTCTCTTATTAAATCATTTATTCAAAAGATGCGAGATGAATGAGGTATGTTTATTTATATGTAATATGCTGAAGTTTCGAAACACTGATTTCCCACAGGGGTGGAAACATGTAGAAATAATCCGTGTGGCTTCCTGGTTTGTTTTCTAAGAGCAGTGCATTAAAATGTAAATGTAACTGTGTTCGTACAATAAACATGAGTCTTCTTTCTCTCCTAACATAGCAAAGAAAGGAAAAAGGTGTTGCTGCTAAAAGAAAATACACAAAGTAAGAATTCAATACTAACCCTCTACTAAAGTATTTCCTTATTTATCAAAAAGAAATTGTTCCCATGTATTTCTCACAGATGCATGTTTTCAGCAGATCAGCCAGATGTCCAAACAAGAAATACCATCCTGTGAAAAAGCCTGTGCCTGTGGTATTTCTGATGCCCCAATATTAAAAAGTGGCTTTGGCCTGATTCCTCTTTCCTATGAACTCAAGTCATATTTCCAGATAAAAGAGATTCAGTTACGTTTGGAAGCAAGAAGAAATGCCTGGAATTTATCCCCCCAGTCCACACTGCAGCATTCTTTGGTCTTACTCCAGGTATTCAGTTCCACTTTCCTGCTCTTGGACCCTGTTGATCCGGGAAGAGGGTGGGCCTAGAACGAAAAAAAAAAAAAGGTTTGGTAAAAACTGAGTGGCTGGAAGAGCCGAGGCATACGTGACCTCTTAGAACAATAGAAATGATTTCTTCAATAATTGTTTTGATAACAGGGTGGCATGTCCATGCATTCAGCTCAGTGAAGTTTTCCCTGATAGCCTGTTTTCAATTGATTAGAATTTTTCTTCATGATACACATTCTGCCCTTTCCTTTCTCAGTATCACTCACAGAGCTAAAGGATATCCATGTCTCGAATTTTAAAAGCATGAACCAAGAGTTCTAAAATGATAAACTATGTGTTGGTGCAGCAAATGTATGGCTAGGCTCAAAAAACCCTATGAATGAATTAAATTTCTAACAATGCCTGCTGTTTATTAGAAGCTTTACACGAAGGATAATCAGTGTTTCTGTAAATAAATGATAGAAAGGAGGGTTACTAATCATATTTTTCAGAAAGAGAATCAAGGTTGCACGATCAAGGCTATTTGTGGCATTTGACTCCACGTTGGCTTTGAGGGCAGATACGAGGTAAATCTAGGCATGATCGCTGTTCATGATCAGTGAGTCCCTGGGAGAAAAGACGATCTGGGAGGGAAAGCAACCAAGAGATGGTTCAGATAGCATGAGCTTCTTTTTTTTTTTTTTTTTTTTTTACTTTTTTTGAGACGGAGTCTCGCTCTCGCCCAGGCTGGAGTGAGCGGCGCCATCTTGGCTCCCTGCAAGCTCCGCCCCCTGGGTTCCCGCCATTCTCCTGCCTCAGCCTCCCGAGTAGCTGGGACCACAGGCGCCGCCACCTCGCCCGGCTAATTTTTGTATTTTTAGTAGAGACGGGGTTTCACCGTGTTAGCCAGGATGGTCTCAATCTCCGGATCTCGATCCGCCTGCCTCGGTCTCCCAAAGTGCTGGGATTACAGGCGTGAGCCACCGCGCCCTGCCAATAGCGTGAGTTTCTTAACTACATTTAGACACTGATGTTTCCAATTCATATTTCTTCTGGAAATCCTATGGTTGTGAACCCATGGATCATATTATGTTTTCTTTCCAATTTGTATTTTTTAAATTTAACTTTTATTTTAAGGTCAGGAGTACATGCAGAGGTTGGTTTCATAGGCAAACTTGTGTCGTGGGGTTTGTTGTACAGGTTATTTCAGCACCCAGGTATTAAGCCTCGTACCCATTAGTTATTTTTCCTGATCCTCTCCCTCCCCACCCTCCACCCTCTGACAGGCTCCAGTATGCCTTGTTTGTCTCCTTGGGTCCATGAGTTCTCACTATTGAGTTTCCACTTATAATTGAGAATATGCAGTATTTAGTTTTCTGTTCCTTCGTTAGTTTGCTGAGGATAATGGCCTCCACCTCCATCCATGTTCCTGCAAAGGAGACGATCTCATTTTTTTTTTTATGGCTTTGTAGTATTCCAAGGTGTATATGTACCACATTTATTTTATCGATTCTACCATTGATGAATATTTAGGTTGATTCCATGTCCTTGCTATTGTGAATAGTGTTACAATGAACATATGTGTGCATGTGTCTTTATGATAGAATGATGTGTATTCCTTTGGGTATTTACCCAGTAATGGGATTGCTAGGTCAAATGTTAGTTCTCTTTTTAAGTCTTTGAGGAATCACCTTTATCTTCCACAATGGTTAAACTAATTTATACTCCTATCAACAGTGTATAAGCATTCCTTTTTCTCCACAACCTCACCAGCATCTGTTATATTTGACTTTTTAATAATAGTGTATTAGTCTGTTCTTTCACTGCTATGAAGATCTAGGTAAGACTGGGTAATTTATGAGGAAAAGACATTTAATTGGCTCATGGTTCCACCAGCTGTACAGGAAGCCTGGCTGGGGAGGCCTCAGGAAACTTACCATCATGGTGGAAGTTGAAGGGGAAGCAGGCACACCTTTACCTGGTGGAGCTGGAGAGAGAAAGAGTGAAGGGGGAAGTGATACAAACAACCAGATCTCATGAGAACTCACTCACTGTGGTGAGAACATCGAGGGGGAAGTCTACTACCATGATCCAATCTGCTCCCGCCAGGCCCCTCCCCCAACACTGAGGGTTACAACTTGACATGAGATTTAGGTGGGGACACAGAGCCAAACCATATCAAATAGCCATTCTGATTGGTGTTAAATGGTGTCTCATTGTGGTTTTCATTTGCATGACTCTCATGATTGGTAAAGTTGAGCTTCTTTTCATATGTTTTTTGGCCATATATATGCCTCCTTTTGAAAAGTGTCAGTTCCTGTCCTTTGCTCACTTTTTAATGGGGTTCCGGAGGGTATTTTCTTTGTAAATTTGTGTAAGTTCCTTATAGATGCTGGATATTAGGCTTTTATCAGAGGCATACTTTATGAAAATTTTCTTCCATTCCGTAGGGTGTCTGCTCACTATGTTTATAGTCTCCTTTGTTGTGCACAAGCTCTCAAGTTTAAATAAATCTCACTTGTCAATTTTTGCTTTTGTTGCAATTGCTTTTAGTGTCTTCATCATGAAATCTTTGCCCATTCCTAGTCCAAAATGGTATTGCCTAGGTTGTCTCCCAGTGTTTTTATACTTTTGGGTTTTATTTTTAAATCTTTCATCCATCTTGAGTTATTTTTTGCATATGGTATAAGGCAGGGATCCAGTTTCATTCTTTTGCATATGGATACCCAGTTATCCCAGCATGATTTATTGAATAGGGAATTTTTCTTCCATTGCTGGTTTCTGTCGGCTTTGTTGAAGATCATAGTTGTAGGTGTACAGCCTTCTTTCTGGGTTCTCTATCATATTATTTCAAAACATTCTTGATTCTCTCTTTTCTACCCACAGCAGGACACAAGAAATAGAAACTTCCTGATAAGAAGAAGGAAATAATTATCCTTTATGTCATTTTTCATATTTCCTCCTTGAATCAAAATTTGCTCCCCAAGTACTCAAGATTGCTTAAGACAGAGAATTTGTACTAATTTATAGATAAAGTACTGTACAAACTATCAGAAGAGAAACATTTTTGAGTATCTATTATGTGCAACTATTTTATGAGAACTGTCACTCCTTCTTAATGAATTAGGACACAGATTATTATGCAGACTTGGTAGCTTGATCATGATCAGTCACCTGGTATGTGAAAAGCAGGGATCTAAGTCCAAGTTTGGCATGCCCTTTGCATTCATTATATTTCACTTACAAGTGGAGAGCCAGAGTTGGGCTGCAGAAACTGTAAACCTATAAGATCCACTGATTTAATCAACTGCTAGTTTCTGTTCTACCATTACTTAAACTTCATTGGACAATCTACAGTCAGACTTGCACTTGGATATGGAAAGATTTTATCTACCTTAGGGAGATACACAATATATACCTACTGCATAAAATTATAAAAATAAAATTATTTTCAAGGCCTTTTAACTTGAAAATAAATCAAAGGCATCGGGGTAAGAGTTATCTTTAGTACACTGATAGTTCAAATCAGTGCACAGTCTATATGGTAAAATTAAAAATATAGAGGGTATAATTGCCTAAAGATTAGTACATATCCCTTTCATTTAAATATTGCTAAACAAGTCAAATTGCCTTTTATTTAATCAATGAACCAAAATGATTTGAAATAGCAATATCATAAAGCTTTGCTGAGCTAGTGTTAAATCCATTTTTTTCCAAAGCAATGAAGCATACACACTTGGCTTTTGGTAATACATAATAAGCAGCCAAATTTGAGCATCATGCCTGGACTTGTATGAGCAACCTCAAACCACACTTGCATAGAATGTCATAGTTAGAAGAACTGGTGCAGGCAACACATGTTTCAAAATACACAAGACATTAAAAGGAGCTGCGATCCCCACACACGAGCCAGCCTGACCCATAACATTGGCTTTGATTTTGTAGGTGGGAGAGAGAAAGTAAGTGGGGCAGGATTTTGGTGGTGTTGTTTACCAAAACAATTAGACTTCGCAAGACTAGTATATTTAAATTGATTTTAGAATATTAGAAAAAGCAGAAGAAAGCAAACAATTTCTGAAAGTATAATCATCATAAATGTAGTTTTCATAATAACACAAATGTGATGGTATTGGACAAAGTATTAAATATTAACATGCAACCACCTCATTGTTAGCAATTTAATTCAGTTCATTTGGCAACAAAACTACCTTGAGTATATGTTCAATAATGGTGCAGAAATGAAGTGACTGCCATTTTTAGAAATGAAAATGTTTGTGCAACCCTAATATTTGCTCTGAACTGTAAACTATAATAATGGAAACACCAAACTTCCAGAGTCCCAGCATGTGCAACACTTCCAGCCTCAGCATAAAGCAGGTCTATAGTGGAGGCTGATATACATTTGCTGACCTATTACATAAGGAGCAACAGGTAACAGAATGTATGCTGTGCTTTTCAAAAGCATGGTGTAAAATCCCAAATATGAATCATTTATAAAGAGTATCAAAACGAGAACTGCAAAGGAGCAGTTGATGCTTGAATCATATTTGAACAACCGTATTTCTAAGTAACATGTAATTCAACTCCTGTCATTCTCAGAATTAATAGCCCAGATTCTTAATTCTTAGTGAGGTTGACAAATTATTCTTTCTTATGGCACCAGTCACGCTTGATCATAAGTAGCATCTCTACCCATAACTCTCCTTCCATCAAATTGAGCCTAAGTTTATTTGTCTAACACAAAACGCCAAAAGGTCTACAATGTGCAATGAATCAATGTTCTTCATTAATAAGCAAAATGTTTCATGGGTGGAAAATGATTCTCCAGCTTCCAAATGGCTTTAAACAAATACAAAGCCATGGTTGCTAAGCTACTATTTTACTTCCAGGGTAAATGTCTGCTGTCTAATCTTTTAGAAGTAGCAGTAAGTTGTTTTCAAGTCATTGAGCCCAAAGGCATTGAAATGTCAAAGATTATATATATACACACACACACACACACATATATATATGTATATATATAATATTTCCTGGCATCATCACACCTATTTTTTTA